TTTCGATCGGAACCTATGTGTTGGGTGATTTTAGACCTTGAAGAACATGAACTTAGGTAATATTTAAGAGTAACGGTGAGTTGGGTTGAGCCGTGTTAGTGCGCTTTAGTTTGGGGTTACTTAGTTCGTATTCTTTAGTATTTTTAAATTAGTAGTAACGTGTAGTTTTCATATTGGTTCAGGGCATTAGTTGGACTTTCATACTCTATTCGAGGATTATATTATTTCATTTCTTAGTGAGTAGTTTCATGCTACATATTTTTATAAATGTTCCCCTACCCTGAACTGTTGGAAAATTAAATTGTTGTTTCAAAACTACACTGTGTTGATAAATTATTATATTATCAATGGAATCAAATTATTTCTAAAAAATGTGTGAACTTGGCATACTGTAAACTATTTGTTTTGGTCTCATGTTTATAATGATGAACTACCATGTTTTGCAAAACTGATGTGTATTGATTATTGGGACCATGTGTGTTTTTAGTCCAGGGAAATTATTCCACTGTGTGTGGTGACTCTGGCCACTAGGGAACAGATCCGGGTTGGGCCGTGATGACTCTAGTGCTCAACTATTGTAAGGAAAAAACCTTTAAAAAAAGCTAGGTGACCTTCAATCGGATCGTCTTTGAGAAAAGGGCCCAGGTGCCACCCTAAGGATGACTCTTAGTTCGGTACTGGATCCAACGGGGCTTATATCCTTGAGAACTGTGTGGCATATTATTTGTTTTTCTTGGTACCCAAAAAATTATTGGTGTTCATGTTATAATCTGTTTTAAGTGGAAAATGTCATTTATCATGTTCTCGAGAGAATGAGTATTTTAATTGTTGAACTGTGGAACCTTCTTTTTGAAACAGATTGTATTTACCAAACTGTATGCCAATCTAGTTTCTGTGATATGTATCTTATTTTGGAATTGAACCATGTTTTCAAAATTGTATTTACTATCCATGTTGCTACTCACCGAGCTATCAGCTGACTTAGTTGTTTACCATTTCTAGGTGTTAGAAGGACTTAGAGTGGGCTCATGGTGTAGCGGGGACTCAATTTCATGGACCTCTAGGGCATTTATGTAATTTGTTTTAGGTTGCTTGTCGAGTTTTGTGCATACATTGTGATTGAGTTTTATTTAGAATTATTTTATGTTGTGGGCGGTTTGTGTCCCATTTAGTATATATATATATATTTTTAGGAAGTTGGTTATGACTTGTTTTTCAATTGTGGCATGTCACTGGATTGAGTTTTGATTTATTTATTTCTGGGCTATCATCACATTTATTCTTTGTGGTTTTGGGTTCATGTTTAGGCTTACGTGTGCCTTGAGCTAAGTCCCTATGGGCCACAGCCGGTCATGCCCGGATTTGGGGTGTGACAGGCCGAACCCATCATCAGAACCGGAATGGGCCGAGCCTGCACAAAGATATCCAAATAAGTCAGCCCATCCCAATAGTTTATCTTACAAAAGGCCAAACTAAGGCACACCGGTACTGGATTGAAGAATCACCTCAAACAATCGTGGAAGCTATGAATACATCCAAAAGCAGATTGCCACCTCAGCTAGTCCCCCCGCCTCTAAAGTTACGGAGGCAGTTAGCAAAGAGAATGTGATCTGTTGTATGGTTGCAATGAACACATGGATCTATAGTCAACCACCTTCAGGTCCCCTACCTTGAGCAATGTTAAGGGAAGCTTGGAGGCACCAAAGCTCCATGAAACCATCTTGGGTAACAAACAAAGTATTTTATATAAACCCCACTCTCTTCACATTGAAGGTAACATAACTCAACTAAACAGAACTCAGCTCCATCTACTTAAACACTTCCCTCCTTATCAAGGGAGGATTGAACATCTTCTCTAACCACTCATTCTCACACCGGAGGAGTTCTCTGGCCAACCCCAGCCAGACAGCTCTAACGGTCCATTGTGTTGCAAGCCCCCAGTTCTTGGATAGCCCACTCTGGTTGCGGAGCTCCGATCCATTTTCATCTAGTGTAGAATCCGGTACGCACAACTATCATATTTGTTGTTGTATGCTAAGCAGAAATATGTTAACATCTGAATCCATATCAGTAGCCATTTGGGCTGGATTTTTTTTTGGTCCTTCATTTCATTGCCACTTTGGTTGTCTTTGTTCCCCTCTAGTCCCCTTCTTTCTCTGTTTTTGGTTGTCCTCTTTGCTATCTCACTCATTTTTTTAGCTAATTGTGGTTCTGATTTAGCTGGAAATCATTGGTGGGTTCACTTGTTAAGCTTTTCATGATCTTATTACTTTCAAAGATGCCTGCCTAGATTCCAGAATGCAGTGCTGGCTAGTTGTACTACCAAAGACGGACTCAGGTGTGGAGGATATATATGTATACTAAAAAATATATTTAAAAGAAAATATGAATTATAATGTTAATTTCTACTAGTATCAAAAGTGAAAAATAAGATAAAAATACATATAAATAGCATTTTTTTTTTTGATATCCACAATTAGTTATAAAAATAATTATCAATGGAATCAAATTATTTCTAAAAAATGTGTGAACTTGGCATACTGTAAACTATTTGTTTTGGTCTCATCATATATTAAAAATGTCTATGATAGAATAAATATTAAAATTCCGTACAATATCTTTCTCAATGGTCAAGTAATTAACTAATAACTTATTCTATTCTTTAAAAATTTAGATTTGTAATTAACACTAGTTATAAGAAATAAATTTCTTTTATTATTTTTTTAATGTTATATTTTCATCCTATGTTTCATAAATATCACTACAGGAAATTTAGCTTTTAGCGGCGCTTAAAAAACGCCGCTAATTCTTTTTGCGACGCTTAACATCAAGCGCCAAGGACGCGGCCGTCGCTATAACTTCCTGACGTTTTAAAAACGTCATTATATTAGTATAACGCCGCTAAATGTCTTACTTTACAATACCACAACGTCATTATGATATTTAGCGACATTTTTTAAATGCCGTCATATCTTTTTAAAAAAATCTAACCGTTAATATTTTGGGTTTTAAGTGGCGTTTTTAAAAAACGCCGTGATATATAAATAGCATATTTTTTGTATTTACAGTTATTTCAAAAAACATTAACTATAAAATAATCTATATATTAAAGTGAGGTATTTTGAGTTGTTGTGCTTGAAAATCTTTCATGTCATTCTATGATATAATTGATATTAAAATCTCATACAATATATTTTTCAATGAATGTGACAAGTAATTAACTAATACCTTATTCTATTCTTTAAAATTTTGGATTTGTAATTAACACTAGTTATAAGAAATCAATTTCTTTTATTATTTTTTTAATATTGTATTTTGATCCTATGTTTCATAAATATAGAGTGACATCCATTTAAAATTTCTAAATGAAGAAAAACATAGAGTGGATTAGTCTCTATAATATGTAAATAATTGTATCTAATGCTACTATAATAAAAGGATGGTCTCTTACCCTCTCTAGATACATCCTCGTGTACTCCAATCATTTTGGTGCCAACACTACATTGTGTACATTTTATGTGAAAATTTTATATGTTTGTAGCATTAAAGTAATGGGCACAAGGTTTCTCATGTTCATTGTTTTTTGTGACACGAAAAAACAAGTAATAGAAGTGCAATGAGTTGGGAAAAAAATACACAAACACTGATTTTTTTATATATTTTTTTTCTATTATTAATGTGAGAAAAAATATTCTCATCTTTGCATATATAGATGAAAATATTTTCTCTCATATCGGTGATTTGGGTGATAAAAACGTCAGTGTTCGTAACACTACTCATGAATTAATAAAAAGTTCTGACAAAGTCATTGTTTCTTATAAAAAAATAAAGAGAATTACAAATTATCAATGGAAAAAATTACAAAATTGTGGAGATTCATGTGAAAGTTGTGTTATATGCAATATGAACTGAGTATTGACACAGTAGCTCCGCTATATGTTTATAATTATTAGATGTAAACAAATGTAAAGAGTCCATCATTTTGGTGATCAAAATTTTGGATGAACTTACCTTTTCATAAAAAGTTAGTACTATGGCAAAGAAGTGGTTGAGATGGAGAATTGTCATCAACATTCTTTGTATGCATAGGATTAAAATTGGTTTCATACGTCTGGTTTGATGGTAACACTAGCCTAATTTAAACCTTATCAAGTTGGTGGTCCACATACTTTGAGGCACACGTGCATGCTGATATGTTAAATTCAACAAATGTGTTTGATGTATTATTTTTATTTAGAAGTTATACGATAACTATGAAATTGAAATTTTAGAGTGTGAAAGAACCCCAATTACTCATTCAAAGTCAATTATCAGCTCAAGCTTATCCCTAAGAAACTCACCTAATTAGTTCAAATTGCGGCGATTAGTTAGCTGATTAATTCAAAAAAGACTGAAATGTCTATGTCAACAACAATGGTTTCTAGCTCATGCGTGCACCTAGTACATAAATTTAAATTTCTGCCTCAATGCCCACAAGCTCTTTTGAGCATTCCCATTTATGTTGTATTACCTTACCTTAGATGACTGTTAATAGTATCGTATTAACGAAAGGCTAACAAACGCTGCATATTTGCAACAACATACGTTAGTTTGAGGAGATTTGAACTCATAATTTCAATTATAAGGTAATGGGCATCTGAAGTAGACAAATAACATGTCATTGAACAAACTAAAGATTTTCTATTTCTAGATCTCTTTGTCTTCCCGTTTTAATATACTTTCACTCCTAAGATCATATGAAAATCTCGAGTTACACAATCTTTGATACATCATCTAACAGTTAAGACTGCATTGAGACAGATGGACAAAAGAGTTTGGAAATAGAAGATCTGATATTTACTCGACTACACAGTCTTAATTACTTCAAGTCCTAGGATCATGTGAAAATCTTGAGATATAAAATCTTTGATACATATTCCAACAACTAAGAGTGTATTGAGACAGAGGGACAAAAATGTTTGCAGACAAAAGATCCGATCCCTACTGAACCACATAGGTATTCCTGAAAATTACTCAAATTGCATATCTTGGGATGCATAAACTGATACAACTGTAAGGTTTAATTGAATCCACATCCAATCCATGACAGTAGTTTTCTTCATAGTCATTAATATGAACAATCTATTGGATATTACTGCAATCCATACCGTGGTTAAAGGCTTATTGAGAAATTGCCATTGTTGATGATGAACAAATTAAGAGGGCTTTGTTTAACATCCATTGAAGTCTTATTAGAAGCCAATACCTCCATAACTTTCATGAATGCCTAGTATAGATCAATGGACTCAAAAATTGCAGGTGGATCTGGATCTTTAACTTTACAGAATTCTCATAGCCCAAATCAAACGTATAATATTTGTTTGCATTTTAACAATTTATAACCCCATCAAATCAAACCTAACTAATCAAATCTAACAATTTCCCAATGCCCACAACTACGCAAAATCACTTAAACTGAAACACTGGATTCACAAAAGTTGGCTGCATTACTACTGCACCACTATGGTCAGCTTGGAATTTCATTGAATCCATGTATTGGTATGGCAATTCCCCCAACTGAATTTTCTCGATCCCTCGGGCGCCATTTCCAGCGCTGCCCATCATGTTTTGGTAATCCGAGTTTGAGTTGTATGAATTGTCATTTAATAGTTGAGAAAGTGAGCCCAAGCAGTCTAATTCCCATAGATGAGAAAGTGAACTAGTCCTTGGAAATTTTAGCATTGGAGAGTCACTAACATCATTTGTAGTCACTATTTGAGCACCCAGTTCTTCAACCCCTTGCTCCAAAACTCTTCCCATATTTTTCTTTTTGTAGATCCTGCATAGGACCCAATCATCCAACTGAAAAATACACAAACATAAACCATTCATCAATTCAGCAAACAACATAGACTAAACCGCGGAGATTAGCAGTTATGCTAAGAACACAGAAAAAAATCATAGAATGGGACACAAATGTCAGGTCCACAGATGAGAAAATTCTCACATCTATGTCTCATTCTATGAAAATCTTTTGCATATTTAGACTTTCTTGGAAATTAAACATCATTCTAAGATTAAAAAATAAAAATAAAAAGCTTTTGTAAAATTTTCACAAAGCCCATTGTCTCTCTTTTGCAAAATTTTCTGTATTCTATTTATGTGCAAGTAGCAGAACCAGTCAAAGATAATAAAAAGCTTATTACCCTCATAGATAGAGACCCATTTTGCCTGCTGGTTGGTCTTGTTGAATCATTCAATCTATATTCATGCATAATCCAATCTGTCTTAGCACCCTTTGGTGGCTTACCCTTGTAAAACACAAGTGCTTTCTTGATACCCACATATTTAGATCCACTGTAAATGGACTTGTCTGTCCCTGTGGCCTTCCAATAACCAGACACAGCTGCTCTATTGGGCCGCGCTCCATTCGGGTACTTCCTGTCACGGGGACTGAAGAAGTACCATTCATTTTCTCCGAATTCGGCTTTCTCTGCACTCCATAAGACTCAAAATTAATACAACTTCACAGTAATTAGCAAGCTATAATATCAACAATTAACGGGTGGTTTTACTGTATTTGTGACTAACCAGGCAATTCCCAAGGATCAAATTTGTAGATATCAACTTCTGGGATGATGGATACCGGGCATGGCCGTGACATGGCCTGGTTTCGTAGATAATATATGATCAATTCCTCATCAGTTGGGTGGAACCTAAAGCCAGGAGGGAGGTTTGAACTATTCTTTCCCACCATTGTTGTATGAATGAATATCAAAGAAGATCAAAAGCAAGAGATGGGTGACAATATATATTGGTTCCTCCAATTAGTCTACCAAATGAAAAGATAGTATGGGTTCTAAGAAAAATTGAGAGTAGTTTTCTTATCTTGTCCTAGATGATAAGGGGAGGCTTAGTAGGAGATGAGAAGAGAGGGTGTTTGAAATGTTTGCAAGGAGAGGGCTAGCCTTTTTATTTGTAAGGGTTTCATGTCCTTTTGTGGGATTACATCATCACTTTTTTTAGTTTATTTTTATTTTTTTATTTTTTTTGAACTAATTACATCATCACTTTGATGGGCTGTTTTTTGACTTTGCATATTGCTTATAGTCGCAGGAATGGGTAAGATGTCTTACTTTCTTCTTAAGATATATACGGTGACGTTTGATAAAATTTAAAATTTAAAATTTATAATTAAAAAATAAAAATTAAGTTTAAAATTGAATGTTGACTTTTTTTAATCTGGCAGGTTATTTGATAAAAATTAAATGTTCAAGTAAAACAAGTTATTTTATATGTATAATAAATTTATAATTTTTAAATTTTATATTGATAAGTTGGTGATAATAATAATGGTGGTGGAGGTAACTATGGTGCTTATAGCACCAATCACAATGGTAATAGATATAGAGAGATCGTGATTGTAGTAATGGAGGGGTAATCTAGTAGAGATAAAAGGAGAGTGGTGGCAGTGGTATAGTGACCGTGGATATTGTGATAATGAAATAATAATGACAGTTATGACAACGATAACAATAATAGTGGAGGTGAAGAGTTGTAATAATTGTAACATTTATATTATTAGCTTGTTTAAACTCTTTAATAGAGTCTCCAATTGCATCCCAAGTTTTTGCCAATGCGCAACAATGATAGAAACATTTTAGCACATTTTTTCTTGACATAAAAATTATTTTAAAAAAGAAAAAGAAACAATGATAGAAACATTTTAGCACATTTTTTCTTGACATAAAAATTATTTTAAAAAAGAAAAAGAAACAAAGAGAATGTTTTCTAACATATTTGAGTGCGAAAATAAACTTTTTTTTTTTTTTGAATAAATTACATTGATATTTTATGAGATTTAAAAAAAATATAGTAAGATTTATAGTTTTGATACAATTACATTGACATCTTTGCAATATGGTAAAATGCACCGAAACTAATGTTTGAAAAGATTTTGGAAAATTAAATTTTTCCTAAACTTTGGCCTATTTTTTAAGTGGGACCCATGTGCCAAAGTTGGTAGGTCTAAGTGGTAACGCGTTCTATGTCGTGTTGTGATTCACGTGGTATATTTGGTTGCTCAAAACCATTAACAGGTGAATGGGAAATTGAAGCCAAAGTGAGCCCAATGGAAATAAAATTTTGGTAGAAAATCCTTAAAAGTTTGGATAAAAGCTTGTCCCACGTTGGTTTAGTGGGAAGAATTTTTTGGGTTTATAAAACATGAGTTTACCCCAAGTTTTGTAGAGATGGAGGTTATGGACAAAGTGAGCTAGATCCATTAGACCCAAAAATAAACACACGTACGTCGTACGTCCGTCCGGTCGGGCGGGGCGCGGCTTGGGCGCAGGTACATGGTGTGAGGTTGGGCTTGTCCAGCCCAATACCTATCTTTTTGGGCAAAAAATATTTGAATTTAATTTTATTTTTTGGTAAAATAAAATTTTTGTCTAGAATTCAAATTAATTCTAGAAAAAATCTGTCTGGTTTTTCTTGCACCCAAACAGGTCCATATCTGTTTAAAGAAATCGAACAGATTCCTATACCCAAACAAGTCCATATCTGTTTAAAGAAACTGAACAAATTTAGTTATCTGTTCAAATTCAAACCCAAACAGTGTCATATTTGTTCATTCAAACCGAACAGATCTGCTACTTGTTCAAACAGGTTTATTACTTGTTTAAATCAAACTGAAAAGTCATCTTTACACCTATAAATAGACAAGTCTCTCATTTGATTCTTTTACTCCAGTTTTTCGTTATTCTCTGCTGCCATTCATCTCTGCATTTTGCTGCATTAATTACATTAATTTTCTGTGAGAAAGAGTGTAATTAATTTTCTGTGAGAAAGAGTATATACATAAAGTGTGTTCGTTGTGTAAATAGTGTGTAGTGCTGCTACTATTTACTGTTGATCATTTTATCCTGAAAAGTACCGTGGAAAGGATGAATATGTCTTAAGGACACAGTGTTAAACACTAGACTTGATCAGAAAATTTGTTCAAGAAATTAATTTGGTAAATAATTAATTTATTTTTTGGTTTCAGATTTTCATTTTGTTTTTGTAACAAAATAAAAATCTATTTTATTTATTTAATTTTATTTTCTGGTTTGATTTTTGTAATCAAGCAAACTCTCACATTTCCTTCATTTTTTTTGTATTCCGTTTGTTGATAAGTACACAAACAGAATTTATTTTTCAAATACAGTGAAGATTGTCTAACAATCTTAAGACATCTTATTTTTTAGTGTCTTCATTGTATTTAATTTTCTATGCTTTTACAAAGTGATATTCTGGTTGGAAAATACAAATAATAGTAATATACTGTTTGACAAATAGTAATAATATATTGTTTATTTTCTTTAACAACTAGTAGAAATATACTAGTGTCATTAACAATTGCAGAATATTAATTTGTGTTACAGAAAACTTTTGTGGTATTTTATTTTTCTAGTTTTAGTAACAAGGAAAATAAAATTATTTTGTGTTATAATTTATTTTCTGATTTTAGTAACTACGAAATCAATTTGTGTTTTGGTTTTTTCTAATTTTTGTAATCAGATATTATGGCTGCTGAAAGTAGTACTCCAAATCTGATCGTTACAACGACTCCGGTCCCTATCTAGAACTATGTTCAAGTTCCAATAAATCATAAAGAAAACCCGAAAAAATTTAATGGCACCGAGTTTAAGAGATGGCAGCAGCAAATGTTATTTTATCTTACAATTTTAAATCTGGCCCGGTTTCTTCTTGAAGAGGCTCTAGTACTTAGAGAGTGTAACGCCCTCAAAATACAATATAAGTAAATTATTCATAAGATCCTTCAATATGAAAGAGATGTTATATTTTCATTCAGCAGAGTCTTCTTTACAAAAATATTACAGATAAGCAACAAAATAAATGCCCTACGGGTTTACAACTTTCCAAGTCAACACTTGGTTACAACAAAAGAAGAGTTCTAACTCTATTTCATGTAAAGCCCTCAGCTTGAATTTACATTTAACATCAAAACAAAATAACAAAATGATGCCCTTAACTCCTAAACCTCCCAAGCTAAAATCTTGGAGGCGGCATGTCACCTGTACCTGAAAAATGATGTCCCAAGTAGGGTGACCTAAAACTTAGTAGAGATATGCTAAACAATATATGAGAATCAACTAAGACATGAGCATTAGATAAAGGTGCAACATCCTTAACTAATATATATATTCTTTTCAAGATCAGTTAATATAGATAGCCAATACGTCATTTCATTTCCATTTTTCCCCATGCCGGGTAAATCAATTTATCAAGTTCATTGTTATCAAAACAACCAACATGAGACTACAACTCAATGGTTCACAATTCAACACATTCATCACTTCAACACTTCAATATCTTGCAATTTTACAGAACCACGTCCGAAGGAACCGGCACCCATACATATATAAAAGATTTCGGGACTTTTACCCTGGACACTCCGGCCAACTTAATTATCAATGGAGTCTATCCCCTATCTCCTCCCACACAATGGAGTACATCCCCTATCTCCTCCCAAACAAAGATACATATACAATGTATTTAAACACCTTGTCATATACAATGACCAAATAAATCACATATTCAATGGTTTAATCCAATCGTCATATTCAATGACATAACCCAATTGATTAGTTTTAATTTGCCTAATCATCATGCATTCTTTACAACAATCATAGCTATCCTCCACCGATAGCCCAAAATAGATATTTCTAAACAAATAAATAAATCTATCAACAGTTAATTTATCAACTTTTCCATAGGTGAGTGACTTATTAATCCAACTACACCATTTAATCACATGTTCCTTCAATTCCATAATTTCCAAGCCAATTTCATTAATTACACAACTAGTTGATTAAACTCAATTTAGGGCAATTTTCTCCCAATTCCAAAACATTGACCCGAAGGTCTAAATCTCACCATTTCAACAATTATACACCAATAACCCCATTTTAAGACCTCACATACACATAGAGCCCAAAATAGAAAACCCATCTTTCATAAATTCAAACTCAAACCCTAACTTCACCCAAACTTCCCAAAACCTCACCATTTATACAAAACGACAAATATCTAGGTCAAAAATCATATTAAAAAGTAAATTATCCCTACCTTAAGTGTAGAAGCTCAAAGGAGAAGAAGAGAGAAACCCAAAGATGCTCCAAATCCCACATTTTTCGGATCAAAAGGAAGCCCACGCAATTTTCAAGCTTTTTAACAAAGGGAGTAAGGTAGAATGACCCTATAACATGGAGTATTTGTAGAGAGAATGAGTATTTTAGAGAGAGGAGCTGTCGATCTAGGGTTTTGAAGAAGAAAGAAGGTTAAAAATGGTGTATTTCATCTTTGCTGCGGACTGATATATGCGAGGCTCGCTCGAGCGAAGGACATGTCACTCGTGCGACCAGACACAACAAGTGGCCTCGTTCGAGCGCAAGAAGCGTCGCTCGAGCGCACAATGCGAAGCTTTAGGTCTGCCACCAACGCAGACGCATGCTCGAGCACAAGAATGCTCGCTCGAGCGAAGGAACATATAATACAAGGCTCGTTCGAGCACAAGAAGTGTCGCTCGAGCGAAGAATACCAACCTTCAGGCCTACAGCTCGAGTGCAAGAATGCTAGCTTGAGCAAAGAGACACACACCCAAGGCTCGCTTGAGTGCAAAAAGCCTCGCTCGAGCGAGGAGGCCAAAACCTGGACGGCAACCACTTGTACCTACTCATAACCAACATGTTCCAAACTCACCCAACAAGTCCCAAAACTCAAATTCAAAGAATTGAAGGATGGAAATAAGATATAGACAATAACATACAACCACGGAACCCGACTCCGAAACACAACAAGGTCGAGGAAAAACCTGGATCGCTATAGAGTGGATGAAAATGATCGGCAAGTTGTTGCCGCTGTAGATGCTTGGAAACATTCTGAT